GTATAGTTGGATTTGAATATACAAAATCTTGAATTAAACTAATTTTTCTTTTGAAGTTTATTGATAACTTTTAATAACACGAGCATACAATCTTATTTTTTCAAATAACAATTTAATATTGTATTATGGTAAAATAACAATCTTATTTTTTCAAATAACAATTTAACACCCAAAAATTCAAAATATTTTGTATATATATACAAACTAAATTATTCCCTCCTCGACTCCATTCTCAAGCAAAACACACCAATGGTAAGTCCTAGAAAAAGTTCAAGAATCGGCACAATCAGAAAGCAAATCAGAAAGCGAGGAGGATTTTATGGAGTTCCTAAATGTATTTTTGAACGAAGAAGCATTACCGCCGGGCAGCCCAGCCTCTCTTTCCCTTTCCTCCACCGCGACGTTTCAAACTCTGACGAGCACTCCGCCATCATATCTTTCCCTTCCCTCCACCGCGGCGTTTTCGACTCTGACCGCCCTCCGGCTTCGGCGCCTCGCACTGCTGCGGAGGGAGGGTCCGGGCTGTCATCCCGGCCGAGTTCCAATTCCGATTGCGGGGAAAGCGCCGCTCCTACGTACGGGAAACCTATAAAAAAGTTTTGATTTTTTAACTTTGAAAAAGTTTTGATTTCTTAACGTTGAAATTTGTTTATATTTTTGTGTACAGAAAACATTGATAGAGCATTTCGAAAATCTTCAATTGGATAAAAAAGATTCACTTGAAGATGTCAAGGTTGAGATCTTTGAAAAGACCATCACCTTTACTTGTGTATGTGGAAAAAGGGGTGCTCAAAATAAAATCTTTGATATCTTTGAAGAAAGATTACATGTAATTTCTTTCCTTTTTTTTTTTGTAGTTTCAAGATTACATATAATCTTTCTTTTTTGTATCATCTTTTTTTGAATGTTTCTTTAACTCAATTCATATCCACATTCCCATCGCAATTCAATGAATATTTCTTTTGTTTGAAAGCACATTGCTTTTAGTTATTCATTATATTTAAATTTAATTAGGAATAGTTCTTTGTTTAGTTAAATTACATGCATCCAAATCAACTTGCCTCTAAACGTGTACGTTACAACTTAAAGTTTTAATCCAGCTTTTTAANAAAATTATTTTTCCAAAAATTAATTTTAACTTAAAGATGAGTAATTTTTATTCTTTCTTAAAAATAATTACAAATAAATTGGTTCAGATATATCCCAAGACTTATTTGAACAAGCATATGGGAAAGAAAAACAAAAAATATTTTTGTATAAATTATTCGTAAAGTTTCTATAAATTAATTTATATATAAAAAAATAATTTTTCCCTTTTTTATCTTAAAAACTCTTACAGAAATATAGCCCAAGCCTGAATGATAAAGTAATTATGGGGTTACTAGAAGCAGCCCAAGTCCAAAAGTAGGGAGGAACCAACTACAGGAAAAAAAAAAACAAAGGGGCAGCAAGCATCCTAGTATTGTTATCTGCAATGGCAGTTGCTCCTCTTCGTCTCCGCTATCTCTTCCCAAACCACACAAACCTCAACTTCTCTCTTTTCAAACCCAATGTGTTGTCACTCACATCATTTTCCCTCTCTCCTATTTCTTCTTCTTCTTCTTCTCTTTCTCAAAAACAATATCTTCCTCTCCATTCCTGCAGGTGCTCCTCCATCGCCCCCGTCTCCACAACCACCTACGAGGTAACATCGATACCCTTTTTCTCTTTCCTCCATCAAAAGCAAAACAAAAACATCAAAATAGTTAAATTCGTTTTCTTTTCGAAAATGAAAAAAAAGGGTAGTTGACTATGTTGTCATTTGTCCGTTAATTTAGTTTATTCTTTGTCTCTCACACTTTGTCACATGCGAACTCTTCACCCAGCTTCTACCCGTCACACGTAGTTATTAGTTCATCACAAAGTAGTTATTAGTTTCGGTTTTTCTTTACAAGTATTAGAAAGTAAGTGAGTTTTAAGCCTAACTCAATTCTTGTAAGGTGAGGTATGCAGATAGAGTAAAGGAATGTGATTCTAATAATGCTGGTTATATATATGCCTTACAAGGGTTACTTCTGTTATGGTAGGAGTTCACTGACATGTCTAATGGCGGCTAATTTTGCATAGCAAGTTGTTAAGGGTAAACGAATGTGTGTCTACAATTATCAATTTATACTCATATACATGTTTCGATGACTCTAATGGTTAAATATGTTTCGCAAGTGCATGTATTTAAGAGTAAACAAGTGTGATTGTATACAATTCTGTACGTACCTGTGGTGTTAATGGTTAAATACACTTCAGAGGTTAGTTAGTGTATTAGTGTTTAACTTTATTGATATGTTTTATTGATGGTTAACTGTACCTTAAAAATGGTTAACTGTTGGGGTGGATATTAGATCGACAGTTCTGGACGGGATTTGATAGTTTTTCATGTTTTTATCATTTGAGTTTGGTTATATTTGATACTGGCCAGTTACCAAATTCAAAATGCAGTTTTCCGATGGTTCTGCAGAGGTGGAGTTAAGACTAAAAATAGGAGGTTTGGATATTCGAAGCTCCAGAGACATATCAGTTGATACACACGATACTTCATTAGCTATCAGAGTGTTGCGGCAAGGAGCTCCCATCACACTTATAGAAACTAATCCTCTTTTTGATAGGATTAAATCCTCTGAAACAATATGGTTGGTTTGTGTGTTTGGAAGTACTAAAGAAATGTTTCTAGTTTTTGCCTTAGTTGATTTTTCTGATTGGGACAGGTATATAGATGATGACGAACTTGTCCTGAGCTGCAAGAAACAGGACCCGGATTTGAAATGGCCTGACATCATGGAGTCGTGGGAATCACTTGCTGCAGGATCTTCACAATTCTTGCAAGGAACATCAATATATCTTGTTGGTGATTCAACAGAAATCAACCCAGGAGGACGGATGAGCTGGTTGATGGTCCTAACGCTGCGTATATGAGCTCTGCTGTTCTTGATAGATGGGAAGATAGATTGCACGACATTTTCAACGGGCATCCCTATGATATGCTTGATGCTGCTCTTACTGATACCCTCTCCAAGTTTCCCTTGGATATCAAGGTCATTTATTACTCCTTATGTTATCATCATGAATTACATATTCATGACTGAGATCTATCTGATCAATATGAATCTTTTGTCCATTAAAATATAGATCTTGTTTCCAGTTTTACATAAATCAGTTATCATTTCTGGGAATATGTTTTCCAGCTGTGGATATAATAAAAATGTTAACAACTTAAGTCAGCTTTTACGGATACAAAACTATATATCAAAGGATTCACTTCAATGTTTGATGCTGTGACTTGTGTGTAACTTTCATCAATGGGTTATAAATTTTAGTGTTTGGTGTTCTTCTCAGGTACACACCACTTAGCACAAAAGAGTTATTGGAAACATATACCAAGCAGACTGTGGATTCATGTGAGCGCCATTTCTATGCCTTGCTTCTTATTCACAAAGCCTTCTATTTTTTTTCTCATGCTGCAGATTCCTGACAAACATAGTGACTTAAAGAATTGTTCTCAGAGATTCTATTTTTTTCTCAGAGACTCTATTTATGAATTGTTCTGATAATGAGTTGTAAAATAATTTTCTGTTACATGCAGTAAATGGTTGGATGGTTGGTGTCGTAGAATTGAATTTGCAAAAAGAAAATCATTCTAATGCCTCGGTTCAAATCCAAACCGAGGCATAAGACCCAATCACAAAAAAAAAGTAAAAAAAATACCCTATACTGCCTCGGTTGCATTTTAACCGAGGTAAAAACATACATTTTTGTCTCAGTTCTGTAACCGAGGTAAAAAGTGGTAGACTTTTTACCCTCGGTTACAGAACCGGTGTCTATAAGCGAAAATAACCGCTGTCTTTTCCCTTGAATGTACTAGTACAAAATTAATGAAAGATAATAATAAAGGTAATATCAAAATAACAGTGAGAGTGATAAAAATAAATAAAAAACCTCAAACAAATTAAGTAGTAATAATATTTGTTGTGATTAATTATAATGGTAATTACATTGACAGTGTTAATTAATTATAATAATAATAATGTATTTAGGTGTCACTCGAATTGTTGGTAGGAATGTAACAAGTGTTTGGTTTCTTTTTAATAAATATGATCTAGATATATATTTTTTGTATAGTTGGATTTGAATATACAAAATCTTGAATTAAACTAATTTTTCTTTTGAAGTTTATTGATAACTTTTAATAACACGAGCATACAATCTTATTTTTTCAAATAACAATTTAATATTGTATTATGGTAAAATAACAATCTTATTTTTTCAAATAACAATTTAACACCCAAAAATTCAAAATATTTTGTATATATATACAAACTAAATTATTCCCTCCTCGACTCCATTCTCAAGCAAAACACACCAATGGTAAGTCCTAGAAAAAGTTCAAGAATCGGCACAATCAGAAAGCAAATCAGAAAGCGAGGAGGATTTTATGGAGTTCCTAAATGTATTTTTGAACGAAGAAGCATTACCGCCGGGCAGCCCAGCCTCTCTTTCCCTTTCCTCCACCGCGACGTTTCAAACTCTGACGAGCACTCCGCCATCATATCTTTCCCTTCCCTCCACCGCGGCGTTTTCGACTCTGACCGCCCTCCGGCTTCGGCGCCTCGCACTGCTGCGGAGGGAGGGTCCGGGCTGTCATCCCGGCCGAGTTCCAATTCCGATTGCGGGGAAAGCGCCGCTCCTACGTACGGGAAACCTATAAAAAAGTTTTGATTTTTTAACTTTGAAAAAGTTTTGATTTCTTAACGTTGAAATTTGTTTATATTTTTGTGTACAGAAAACATTGATAGAGCATTTCGAAAATCTTCAATTGGATAAAAAAGATTCACTTGAAGATGTCAAGGTTGAGATCTTTGAAAAGACCATCACCTTTACTTGTGTATGTGGAAAAAGGGGTGCTCAAAATAAAATCTTTGATATCTTTGAAGAAAGATTACATGTAATTTCTTTCCTTTTTTTTTTTGTAGTTTCAAGATTACATATAATCTTTCTTTTTTGTATCATCTTTTTTTGAATGTTTCTTTAACTCAATTCATATCCACATTCCCATCGCAATTCAATGAATATTTCTTTTGTTTGAAAGCACATTGCTTTTAGTTATTCATTATATTTAAATTTAATTAGGAATAGTTCTTTGTTTAGTTAAATTACATGCATCCAAATCAACTTGCCTCTAAACGTGTACGTTACAACTTAAAGTTTTAATCCAGCTTTTTAATTAATGTCGTAGTTGGTGTTATGGGCTTATAATATTTTTTCTACCAGTTGTTTTTCCAATAACATTATACAAATAATCGCTGATCACACTGATGTGCAAAAATATATACAAAATTTGAGAGGATAAAGTTGACTGTATATTATAAATTTAAATACTGATATAGGTGGAATAACAAATGTTGGAGATGTTAAAGTATATGAATGACAATTCAATAAGCATTTTATCTTCATTAATCATTAATTACTATTTTTTTTTTCAGAAGTTTTTGTCTGCAATCATCTCGTGTTTTCTTTTTATTCAAATCTGTCTATGTTCAAATGATAAATTCGATTCTTGACGGAAACAATTATTGTTCAAACTTTTCTAATTTAAATATGCCCGAAAAACCTTGTCTTGACATGCAGATTTGGAAAACATGTCACAATATACTTTTTTTTTGTATGTTAAGAGGATGCTAAAGAATATGCAATTAAAGCTAACTACAACATAGTTCATTTCAGTAATACTTGAGACAGATATTTGACTGCTTGAAGAAACTGGAGGAATACCTGTTGCAGAGTAGAGTTTACAAGTCAGATAGATTTCCAACATAACTACTTTTCTGTCGGGATAGGGGAGTGAGTTGTTAAAGCTTTTTTTTTTCTATCTAACAACTGAAATCTTGATACATATAATAACATTAGATAAATCTCACAACAGTTTATCAACTACATATTTTATGCTTATGTTGAGTCACACAGCAGCCATCTAACTATTCAAATGTTTAAACCTTAAATAACATAACTTGTCTATACGTTTGTGTTGTTCTATATAGCAGTGTTTAATTATCTACAAATACGTTACATTTCTTCAGTATCACTGTCTTCTGTGCTGTCTATCAGTTCCGCTCCTGGGTGAATAACTGTGGTGGAAAATAAGGTATAATCACCATTAGTATTTGTATCAGCCTGTTCCTGCAACGACAAAGCATACTCTAGTTGTACCTCTACTTCACCCATTGTTGGTCGCTCATCCGGTTCATACATCACGCATCTTTTGGTGATATCTATGAAGACTTCCCAACACTTTGGTGCAATCTTTCCCTTGATGCTCGCATCAACTTTTTCCTCAACAGGCTTCTCCAGAAATTCTCTTTCAGCTGGCATTGTTATGTATTTCCTTCCACACACAACTTCTAGCAGAACCATACCAAAAGAATAAACATCAGATTTATCTGTGATGGCATCGTCAGTGAAAAGCTCTCTAGCCATGTATCCAGGAGTACCTGCAAGTAAAAATATTAGCTTAATATAATACAAAACAAAAGTTCATTTTAGCAAGTAATTAAGCTCATAAAGCAAAGAAAAAAAATTTACCAGCCACAACATCAACTTTAATTGGCTTTGGTTTTGACATCAATCGTGACCCCTTTACGCTAATGCAGAAACCTGTGAGTTTTGGGTGCATGTTGTCGTCCAAAAGGATGGTTCGAGGTTTGACTATACGGTGGATGATGGTGCGCTTAGCTCCTGCATGAAGGTAGTGTAGTCCACGCGCTGCTCCTGTGCAAATCTCTAACCTTTGCTTCCATGACAGCTCCCCACGTTGTAGGTGTCGATCTAGAGATTCATTGGACATGTATTCGTACACAACAATCTTCTCTTTCTTGTGGTTGCAGAATCCTATAAGAGACACACAATTAGGGTGACGAAGCTGGCAGAGCAACTCTATTTCATTCTTGAACACTTCACTGTGTTCCACAGAAAACCGTTTCACTGCTACTATGTAATTAGAAGCAGCATAATGTTGGAGATAGCCTTTATATACTTCACCAAATCCTCCACGACCAATTAGTCTCTTTCTATCGAAGTTGTTGGTTGACTTTCTAATCTCTGCAAGAGAAAACTGATGGCACAACTCTTCTATTACTGTTTGATACTGTTTCTTTGAAGAACTTGTGTTGCCTAAACATTTCATAAACATTGTTCCAATTTGTGAGAGACACCCTTCTTCCTCTGTTTTCCACTTTCTATAAGCATTCACCTCTTTTCCTCTTCAGTCTTACATCATTAAGCTAATTAACCATGGTCTCTATAATTTCTAATTTATAATTAACATTTCACACTCTGATCTTCATTTCAGCTGTTTCTCCAGTCTTCACTGCTAATATTATTAATTAGTTTACAGAAAAAAGGTTTAAAAACATAACTTGGAGGCTGATGGATTCGACTAATTGAGTTTACCAGTTCGGATTTTAGTCAACCAAAATAAGAATGAAACAAAATGTTGATCAAATATTTTTTCTTATAATTACTTGAACGCATTAACACAAATAGCTAGTCATTATCATTTACGTCTGACATGAATAAATAAATGAACAATATTTACATATGACCTATATCAGCCAAAAAAAAACATTTTGTGTTTGACCCTTATAGGTTCAACATAAATCCCCATACATTTATGTTTGAATTTATAAAAGTTAGACATAAAAAGTTTCTTTTACTTTTGACTGTTATAGTATGATATAAATCGATTTTAAAATTCCAATTGAGTCCTCCTTTTCTCTATGAATAAGTTTTTATTCTTCGACAATGGAGGCTTACATTGTGGAAGGCTGCATTGCATTTCAGAACGAGTGGTTTTTTCATCTTCAATGGTGGTTTTCTCTTGAAGCAACTCTCTATTTATTTAGTTTTTGCATTGAGGTCAGTTACTTACACCTTACTATATACGGTACCCATGACTATTCTTGGAGAACTGAGGCATGAGTATCCTTGAATGTCCCTTTAATTGTGTTTATGGATTTGTATATGTATTTTTTGAAATTTTCATCATTAAGGGTTTAGGTTGGTTGTGTTTAATAAGAATTTTATTTTTTTTATTTTAAAATTCATGGAAATATATTGAAATTAATTTATTAGTTTATGCTAAGATTTATTAATTATTTAATGCATAATTTTAGATGTAGACCTTGAGCGAATCTTAATTTTTGTTTGAGACTTTAAAGATTACTTATTTGTATTATATTTTGAATTGTCCAATTTTGATTCATACCATTTTTTTAATTTATGGATGCATACTTGACTTTGATAATGAGTGACCACTTTTATTTCGTGTATTTCAGTGATCGATGCAAAATTCAGTTGAAATTATATCAAATTTATGATGATAGATTTCCCCGTGTACATGTTAGTGAATTATGAAAAAAAAAATTCTGAATGGGTTGGACCTCACCTTATGATAATTACAAATGTGAGAATGATGGAGTTTGTTACCAATAATGTACATGGATCGAAGGTGGATGAATACATGTCGTATTAGAGAACACTATGAAAAATGGATTGTTGAGTTCTTGCAATATGTTCAAAAATACACAAAAACTGTAGGTGAGACATGTTATTATTCTTGTGTCGTTGTTTGAATCAAATACATCAAAATTTGGGTGAAACTCGTGATCACTTGTTCATACTCAATATAGTCAAAAGTTATACAATTTAGACTTGACATGGAGAAATATTAAATAAGCTTACAACATCAAGTAGAAACATACTTAACATTTGAATTTATACTTTTATAAATTTTACTATACTTTTAAGTTATACTATACGATTGTCATCTATATAGTTTTTTTTTTAACATTCCAATTTTAGTAACTTACAATTGATACAATAAGACATTATAAGATTAATAAAACAAAGAAATTGTCTCAGCATATAAATATATGGTTTTAATACAATTATCTAAAAAAATAACTGAAATAATAAAATATATCTAAAGCAACTAAGAAAAACTACTAGACTACAAGAAAGAATACTTTGTAGCATCCTTCTCCTCCACTAGAGATTCTTCAACACCTACCCCTTATATGCTCACACTAATAAGGTGACCATCGCAAAAGGAACAAACAAACACATAAAAAACACCAAAAGAAACAATAAGATAAACTAATGTGCAAAAGAGTTTTCATAAAATAAACATAGAGATATTATCATACATCACTCATTCATAAAGAAATCATATCATATATAAAGACTCATAGTAGACTCAATTATCTGGATACATGTATTGATATCAAAATCTGATGAGTTATGGTGGTCTTTATTGCTCTACAGAGTCATTGTCAATGAATTTTATCCTACCACACACAAGGTTAGTACATTAGCATCTCTAGCCAAGTTAAAGCCTCTAGACTAGGACCTGCACCTCTCACCACATACCCACCATTCTCTACTTGAGATTGAGTGATTATTAGAGCAACAAGATAACTCTTAATAATGAATCTATATATCAATACATACACTAAAGAAACGTCATCATAGAATCGACCCATGAGATATCTGGAATTACGCCAAACACGTATAATCATCATATCCATTAACAAGTTCATCATCATCATAATTTCATGCATACATATTTATACCTAAATCTATCAATCATTCTTATATAAAAATCATAAACCAACTATTATTTTAACATTACATAATCTTACATTAAACATACTAAAAGAATACATACTAAAAGAATACATATATAAGGTCTACTTGTCTAGTAACCAAATAGCTCGTTCAACGAAATTATCATTAAAATTTACAAACTTAGATCTTCCCCAAAAATCGTTCAACGAGACTATAGTCTCGTATAGCTACTACCAAATGAGGGAGCTATCTGCTTAAACTATTTTTCCTATTGATAGTTTTTTAGTAGTTGGTTTGTTTTAATAGTAGTAGATAAAAACAACCGTACGTGGAGGCCATTTTAAATAGCAAAATTGTAGTTGCTTACACGGTCATTGCAAAAGTCTTCCACTAACTGTTTATTTTACTAATAATGTCACTTATATGTGATAAATATATTCAGAATTTGACATCATAAGATAAGATTGATTGAGTGTTTTATACATTGAGAAGTGAAATTTAGTACATGATTTTTCATAGGAAATTGCTCCATATAAGTTATACTTAATAACATATTAATCAAGGAGAGTTTGAATGGTCAGACAGAGAGAGGAAATTAAATAACCAAGCAAGTGTTGCAATAAGAAATTTCATCTTGAGTTGTTTAGTATTTTCATTATAGATAGGTGTCATTTTGGACGAGATTCATACGAAATTTCATAAAATGAATTTTAGTTAGTAAAATATGAGCACTATAATCAATCAATACGTGTTTTCCGTTACGGCTAAGAGAGAGGGAAACTAAATAACAAAACTAAGTATTCTTAATTTTAATATGAATTTCGTCTCGTATTGTTTATTATATTTGTTATATAGAAGTGTCAAGGTAAATTGAATAAACAAAATACGATGGACAAAATCAGGTATTCTTTGTTAATTGAAAACACATTAAATTAAATAAAAAGGTGTCTTGTTAAACAAAATTTTTGTTTTTTTTCTTACATATCAACTCTACTTACATGGTTTTTTTATTTTATTTTAAAGTGTAATAAGAAAATAATATTCCTTTATATTTTTGGATTGTTAATTAATAAAGTTTGTTCACAGATTGGAACATCCTAAATATGTTAATATATATACATATATATTTTGTCCACACAAAAAAGTTAATTAATAAAAACAATATCGAGGCTAGCATTTTCCATTAACAAAAAAAAACTTA